GTTTTTTTTTTTTTTTTTTTTTTCTTCTAGGATAGTCAAGGAATTGTATTGAGAAAGTTGAGAAAGATGAAATTATAGAAGTTCACAAAAACACACTTCAATTAGCATGAATCCAAAAGGGGAAAGGTCGTAGAAACTTTTAGCTAGGGAACTCCAAGTACCGACACCATCTCCCACAACTCATGTATGTCCTCTCAACTCCTTATAAATATTTCTGTTTCTTCCTACTCAAATTTTCCAACACAAAACCTTGAGTGCAAACAAGGAGAAAAATCATAGCAGGTGATAAACAAAGATTAACTATCTGAAACCTCGGACCTAACAACGGGTTAGAAAATATCTCACTTCTCTTCTTATAAGGATATAAATGATAAACTAGATTGCATGAAAGAAAGAAGCTTACAAGGAGATGACCTAGAAAAGTCAAAGGAGTGATAGACAACCTCTCGAATTCATAGAAAGCCTTATTTATTGAAACCCATATGGAGGATTCAAACCTCTAACCTCTTGGTTGAGGGTACATGCCTAAAGTGGACTAAAGCTCAAGTCTTATATAAACCCATATGGATAATACAACTGAACACAAAACACCGATGTCCCTGAAGAACCCAACCAAAATCTCCTATGCTTCAAAGATCCTTCAATTTCTTTCTAACTCACTTCTCATGAAAGGGTTCTTACAAGTTATGGCAACAAAATGCAAAATCATAGCAAACATTTACCTTTTAAAACAGGTGTTCACAAAAAAAAATGTAGTGGTTGTCTCAAATCAATGGGGACTGATAAAGGCAAGTTGAAATCTACAATGCTAATGTATTGAGTAGACAACCTACAATTCCAATAGTTGATTATGCAGTTGAAGTTCATTTGGGACTCACCGACAATACAAGTCACATAGCTCTGCGTTAAACGCCTCATCTTGCTTGCTAACTCCATATCTGAAGATCAATGTGAAAAAAAAATTACAATACAAACAAAAATGTCAATTCTTAAAAGCTTGGACATTTTTTTATCCGAGATTTCCTAAATAATGATGACTATTAGCAGTTAGTGTATTACGCACTTCGTATGCTAACAAGCCGCCGGTACTTAAAACAATAACTTCCTATCAAATTAACCCTCGTCTTTTCACCAAGTCTGTGCAATCGTAAGAAACTAGGCAAACGAAAAAAGAAATAGAAACAAGAAAAATAATAATAAAACCAACTTTGCAGCAATGCTTTCTATTTCCTCCTTCTTCACATTCGCAGGATCATCAAATCCAGCCACATAGTTATGCAAATCAACAGCCGCAACATCAGGAACACATGAATTCAAGGAATATACAGCAGCTCCACTTGCGGCAGCGAGAGCAGCAGCCCCACCCAAAGCTGCGTTACGGGACTTACCAAACCGCAACCCTAGCCCATAACCAGCAGCTACAGCTCCAGCAACAACAATGGCCGACGTCGCTAATCGTAAAGGCGGAGATAATAACCGAACAACAGGTTGAATCCCAGTGAGCTCCTTCTTACCACCAAAAACATCAAGTGAGGAAGGCGACGAGGACGAGACGGTTTCTTCCGTAACCTCCGATGAACTACGCGGAATTGAGACTCTGAATTGACGTCGTTTGGAGAGATTGAAGCTTGTGGCTGTTCGAAGAGGGAGAGGATTGAGAAAAGAAGAGGAGGTGGGGCAGCGGCCGGTTGAGAAATGAGAAGCGAGGAGGGTAGAGGTATTCATTTCTCCGTCGCGCGCGCTGTGCTAAGGGATAACTGAGGACGCTGGCAGATAAGGCAGCCTGCCTAGGGTATGATTCACAGAGGCTTTTATAGGGTTTACAGAGGCGAGCGAGCGAAGAAGACAATGCGCATGCCACATGGACGCCCAATCTTCAATTCAACAAACCGGAAGGGAGAGACTGCAGAAATGCCCCTCAACTTATATATATTTTTAGTTTCACCCCGGTTTTAAGGAGAGAATTTTATTATGGCACAAAAGTTATGATATTTAAATTTGTATTTTAAGAAATTATGATGTATGTTATATTGTATTTTTATTTATAAAATATTATTGATTTTTTTCACAATATCTGCTAGCGGTGGATCTAGGCCGTTACAAATGGTATCAGAGTCTGACACCGGACGATGTGTCAGCTTTCTCGTTGTTCTCCGAAGGGGGGTAGACACGAGGCAGTGTGCCAGTAAAGACGTTGAGCCCTGAAGGAGGGTGGATTTGGTGGCAGTCTCACATCGGTTGGAGAAAGGAAAGAGTGCCAGCGATGTCCCACATTGGTTGGGGAGGATAACAAAACACCATTTATAAGAGTGGAAAGCTTCCTCTAGCAGACGCGAGAACAACATTTGGTAGTCGTGGATCGACTTATGGCCCCCAAACGAGTCATATTTTATGTGTTATGTAATGGTTTATGTTATGTCATGATATGAATTTTTTATGATGCATGCATCCATGCCATATGTCACGGCACGTACATTATGTTAGTATGTTCATATTATGCCTATGAGACATTGATAAGCCATGTCTGTTAGCCATGAAAGATATGATAGTATATGTATGCACATTTCATAGGAACGCTATGACATAAAAGGATATGAAGCTATGATTTGCATCATACGTTTATACAATGATTTGAAACTACGAGAGATCTTATGCATGTTGTATGTGACGTGCATCAGAATACTTTCTTATTATGATTAGAACGTATGCACGGTCCTTTCACTCTTGGTTTCTAGTAGCATGACCGTGTGTTAGCGCTTGTAGTCAAGCCCAAAGGTATATACGAGCCTCCCCACAGGGTCCATATGCGTGTGTGTGGTCGGTATATAAAAAAGTACTATGGGTTCAACAATGATTGTCTATGATTACATTTTCTGATCTCAATAGTGGGACTACTTACTGAGTATTTTAAATACTCAAGCCACATTCTACTCCTTTTTCAGATAAATGTAAGATACCTATTACGCATGACAGCAACGTTAAATTTTGTTATATTCTTTCGTCATTCATTTAATTGCAATTAAATGCATACCAACTACATCTATTATTTAAATCAAGTATGTCGAATCATTAATACTTTTTTTAACTCAACTTAGTAATCTCTCACATGGGTTCAATTAAATCCCTTTACTAAATTCATTACATATCCACACGAGACTCGAGAAGCATTCTCTGTCCCTATTTTTGTGTCTTATCTCAATTCGGATTTGTACGAAAATTTTCATTCATTTTTTAGAATATACGAGTCTGTGTAGTATTAGGTCGTTCGTCAGGGAAAGTCTAACCAAGCCAATGATGCTTAGCTGATTTTTCTAGATGATCAATCACATTGGAACTGAGACATGACCCAGACTCCCACAAGAGCAACATTGGAGAATCTTGGACAATGGTCGAAAACCCAATCCAGCAATCTCGCGTGGGCGAAGAAGGGGAATGTCTCTTGTAAAGCTCTTTCGTCGAGTGCACGATCATGACAAGACTCGAGGAATAAGCCCCAGCTAACTCTGTGCCATCAGTCACAATAAGACAGGGGATTGGACAAGTGTTCTTCAAAATAACAGGACGTAAAGGGCACATCGGTGGTGAGTCGGGTTGAAAGTGAATGTCACAAAAAACTAGTGAAATGCTATCGAAACTCATTCGCTCGAGTGCAATAGAGAATAGTAGAATGTCGTGAGGTGATTTTTCACTCGAGTCAAGACATGCTAAATGGAACGAGGGTAAAACTTTAAAATTTTGACATCTTAGCTAAAAAAACATACATTTTAATCCGGTGAACTATGCTCGAGTTTGCCAACTTCAATTAATTAATTTTTTTCCAAACAATTCTATAAAATAATTCCTAATTTCTTGCATTGCAATATCCTACTCATCTATGAAACTATTGATAGTGGCAAAACGTGCAATGGCGGAGAGTCTTCAACCATCCGCCGCTTCGTAGAGTAAAAGCTTCTGGTCCGAGCGAACAGAACCAGCGCCAGCAAAGTTCCGACCAGACACAAGCAGCCCCAAATGAAGAAAACGGCTCTGTAGCACTCAACTCCGATGCATTTTCCGGCGCCCGCCGGCACTTGCATCCGGTAAAGAAACCCGGCGAGAGACCCAAAAAGAAACGAGCCAAGAGGAATATTGGCAACCACCAGGTTATGATTTATAGAGAAATTATCAGCTCCAAATAACTCTGTTGTTACCGACACAGCAATCGACGTAATGGCGCCCGTACACCCTGCAATTATGGCCGTGCTTGTACACAAGCTCATGTCCGTCGGCCATAAAAGAAGGAAGAAGCCGCCGCACATTGCTCCCAACAGCGCCACCATCCATCCTGGCTTAGACTTCATCAACTTCCCTGGGAAGAAATGGTCGAGAAGCGACGGTGCCAGGCGGCCGAAGAAGCCGAACGATGCAGACAGAGACACCAACGATGAAACGCCGGAGCTCCGGCGAGACTCCGCTATCTGTCCCAAATTGTTTAAGAACACCAACCCAAGTGTTGCTCCGAAGAAATAAACCCCAAAATGTAACCAAAAGTTCATTCTTTTCAACATTTCTTTCGCTCCGATCTCCTCCATTGCCGCCTCAACGGCGTCTCTCTGTTTCTCCGGTTGCTCTGTTTTTCGTTTTACATTTTCAGCTACTGCAACAGCCAACGGCAGGAGGAGAAACACCAAAATCCCGACCAAACCAGTCAATGGCGACAGCTTTGTCGAAATCGATCCCAAACTCGTAAAAACAGCAAAAACCCCAGTAGCTATGGTTATCATAAAGATCAAAAAAACCCCAATTTCCAAACCTCCCTGTTCTTCCACGACATGAACTCTAACAAACGGCGACACCAAAACAGAAACACCCAATGGCAAAACAGAGTTCAAGAGAAGAAATGTTTCTGTTCTTTTGGACGACCGTTTAGAAAACATTGATTCGACAATATCTGTATAGATCTTAGCGCTTAATCCTTGGTAACTAGTTGATATCCCGACAGCAACATGGCGATGAGCTTTAAAGTTTCTAATGGCGACAATGTAACAGACAGTATTGATCCAACAAATGCTGTTTCCGGCAAGAACAGTGAGCAAGAAGATGACCCAATAAGAGGGGTCGTGTAATTTGTTGATAATGAAGAGATATTGGACGCCATAGCCGACAAGACCAAGAGAAGAACCAATCACGAGAACCAACCAAAGGGGTAAAGAATTAGCAGCAAAGCCAGAGACGAACCCGAAAAGCTTGCCGGCGTCGGAGGCAAATGCGAGATTATTGAGCTGCAGCTGCGACATGGAGAGCTGATGCTTGAACTGAGATGAGTACGAGGGGAAATTGAAGCTGGTTCCATTGATGGATTGAAGCCATATGATTCCGACAAGACTCAGCCATTGAAGAGCTCTGGAAGACATGGAACAGAGTGGAACAGAGCAACGATTGTTCTGCAATTTCTTCCCGGAGACAGGAAACAGGGGCGGCGCTCGTTTAGGCTATGTATCCCTCTTTGTTTGAGACGAACATGGAATTCGAATATTCAATAAGAACTGTTCTTGAGATTTATGGAAATTTTATTGAATTTTATTTGCAGAAAAGGTATGTTTTTTTTTTTTTATAATTATTGTGGAAAAACATGTTATAAGACAGTAAATAGCTGTTTTTTTTTTTTTCTAATAAGATTTAGCCTGTTTTGGAATTTGTTCAGTGAAAAATAATTACTGAGGTAAAACTATTTACCACTTTCACCTTCTACTTTACTATTTATGTTGAGATTTAGTTTATTTACTTTTTTTAGTATTTAAATTTAAATTATATAAAGTTTTAATTTTAGTTTAATAACTTGTTGCGGTTGTAGAGATGTTCGTGGGACGAGTGAAGATAGTGATGTCTCGTGTCACGGTTGTACTTTGTGCGACGTTGTGATTCTGACACGATCATGACAAGGCTGAGAGGGAAACTAATGTTTTATTATATGTTTTTTTTTTTAATATATTTGCAGCTTTGTCGAACCTTAAGTGAGGTTCTCCTTAACCGACCAAACACAACTCGTGCGAAAACTAATTTTGTTCGACCATACATGTTGTCTTTTACGTGTATGTTCACTTGTTGCAATTCTAGCCGACTCATTGTTCTGATTCTCGACAATGTAGTCTATGCTTCGTGATGCTATCCCAAGTCTTGAGATGTTATCGGCCTTTTCTGCTCGCTTGGACATGCTTATTGAGATTGATCCATGAGGCAACTTTAAAATCGCTAAGCCTCAGACATCCATTCATCTGAATATTATCGAGGCGTGAACCCTTTCATGTCCATGTCAAGTCATTTATGCATCACTACCAAAGAACGACCCTATATACTGACCTTCGACTCAAGAGATGAAGCGGAATATTGGCATGCTCATGTCATCCGACACTATTCTTAAAACCTCATTTCCATAGGAAGACGTACAAGATACTAGTATTGCCATGATGCACGTGTGTGCCCTAGAGTAACTCACTTAGGTCACATGGTCCATGGGGAGGTGGATACCTAATATCATGCCTCCCGTATAATACAATTTGAAACATTTTAGGTCTCGCAAAAGTAGACATAATTTTAGTAAACAATCATATGATCTCGTGGTGTGATGTCTCACATTGGTTGGGGAGGAGAACAAACCACCATTTATAAGGGTGTGAAAACCTTCCCCCAGTAGACGCGTTTTAAAGCCTTGAGGGGAAGCCCGAAAGGGAAAGCCCAAAGAGGATAATATCTGCTAGCGGTGGGTCTGGGTTATTACAAATGGTATCAGAGCCAGACACCGGACGATGAGCCAGCCTTCTCGTTGTTCCCCGAAGGGGGTAGATACGAGACGGTGTGCCAGTTAGGACACTAGGCCCC